GGTGGCGATGGGATATGTCTTTTTGGCTCTTGCTGGCTACCGTGACTCCAGTTTCTTATGAACATTGTATTAAAAAGATAATAGCAGCCTTGACTGAACAAAAGTTAATCCATTTGTTAGTACTCAAATAGCCTTAGTCAGAGATGAGATCAGTAAGGGTGAGGAGGACACTTGAATAATGAAAGTTTCCTTATTGATGGCATAAGAGATGGGCTCAACATCATGCTACATCTGGAAGAGCTGAATTTAATCAAACTAATCTACGTTGGTGGTGGTGGGGGAGAAGTCTATTTGCATTCTCTGTGAATAATAAGGGCATCAATTGTAAAGTGACTACAGAGACAGCTACTCCCTGACCTCAAGTCACATCCCAGTGACACTAGTGACCCTGGGGAGGCAGACATGCTGAAGTCCTCCCTGGCATCTAGGACATGGTCTGGGGTTGCAGCAAATATATACTCCTTTTTTTTTTGTGAGGAAGATCAGCCCTGAGCTAACATCCATGCTAATCCTCCTCTTTTTGCTGAGGAAGACAGGCTCTGAGCTAACATCTATTGCCAATCCTCCTTCTTTTTCTCCCCGCCCCCCAAAGCCCCAGTAGATAGTTGTATGTCACAGTTGCACATTCTTCTAGTTGCTGTATGTGGGAGCTAACATCTATTGTCAATCCTCCTCCTTTTTCTCCCCGCCCCCCAAAGCCCCTGTAGATAGTTGTATGTCATAGTTGCACATTCTTCTAGTTGCTGTATGTGGGATGTGGCCTCAGCATGGCTGGAGAAGCAGTGCTTCAGTGCATGCCCAGGATCTGAACCCCGGCCGCCAGCAGCGGAGCGCGAGCACTTGACCTCAGTGCTAAGCCACGGGGCTGGCCCAATATATACTCCTTTTACAGTGATTTGACTCATGACTTTACTTCTGCGAGGCATAAAGCCTCTGCTAAGTTGGGTAAAATGTTTGTTTCCCTGGGCTATAAAAGTCATCTTGCAAAGAAATAAGTACAAAATCTCACCTTAAGTAATAATTTCCTGGTAGGCCTCACTTCCAGAAGTCTTAGAAATACACCAATCACTTCTGATCCTGGCCAAATAGCTATTTGAAATGCTATTTTGACACTAGTTATATATTAAAATGTGACCTCTACATCTATAGGTAAAGCATTTTAGGAGAAAGGAAGAAAAAGTGATGTAATTTTGAGGTATTCTCTTAGTGACTGCCAAGTGTAGAAATTCTATTGTTACAAGATGTTAAATTGGAAGTTACATTTTCAGCCAGATAATTCTTTGTTGCGGGGAGGGCTGTACTGTGCATTGTAAGATGTGTAGCGGCATCCTTGACCTCTACCCGCTGGATGCCAATAGCATCTCCCCAGTTTGACAACCAAAAATGTCTCCAGACATGGCCATAAAAATCATCTCCGGTTGAGAACTATGGTTTTAACTGAAGCACCAAGATATTACAAAAAAACCCAACTCCCCCCACCCCCTCCAAAAAAACACTGAAGTGAGTTCTGAAATGGACTCCCCCCTACAAATGAGAGAATTTAGACAAAATCAGGTAGATAATTCTGAACAGTCACAACAAGTTATAAAAGGTCAAGTGAGAATTACTGAGGAGTATTTCTTTGGAGACCGTTGCTGGTATGCTGTGATTCTTACCATAGCTGCCTGCCTGCCTCTTACCTCAAGCTGAGAAGGACCTTCAATGGAACTACTCAAAGTACTTGAGATGTGTTTCTTGCAGTTAGAGGGGCACAGTGGACCCGTGTCTAACTCCTACCTGGAAAATATAGAAGAAAAGAGAAGGGCTGACAGCTGTTTTGGCAGCAGTGCAGAGGAATGCTGAAGCTGTACTGGGATTGGCCTGTACTTCCAAGTTTGTTTGCGCAAGAAGAGCGTGAGAGCTTCGTGTAGTCCAGGTGTGGACCACAAAGAGCTGCCACTAGCCTAAACAGCACCATCAGAAAAATGTCTGATGGTGCTGAAGAAAGCTCTGCTTCATCCAGACACTTAGTTTCATCTACTGGAAAATTGTCACACTAATTTAGTTTGGACAAAACACTTTACTGCCACCTGCTGGAAAACTGTCAAAATAAATATACAAATCTACAAGGAGGATGATGTGAATGGCACTCCCTAGGGTATGGAGCACACAACCTTGCACAACAATATGGGGTGGCACCAGGGCCACTTGCAAATGGGCCAGTGTGAGAGCTATCTTAGATCCTATCTGACAGGGCCCTTACAGAGAAAAACAGGTTTGCACAGACAAGAAGTTGGAGGTGGGCCACCAGATTCCTAGGTGCCAAAAGAGGGAGGAAAGAACTGCTAGAATAGAGTGCTTTTGCTCAGATTAGGGGAACTATGGGTGGGAAACCACCAGAGAATGGGGATGGTGGTGGTTTCTGAAGTAACCATAAAAGTATCCATCAGAAAAAAAGGCAGCTTTAAACATCTACCAGGCCCAGAGTGTTAAACCATCACATGGAAGTAAAAGTTAAGAACTTTCTTGCTCCCCTTTCTTTTCCTCTTTCTCCCTCTCTTTGCCCCTGGTTGGTAAGGTGGGAGAGAACAAGAAAGACCAGGCACGATGCCTCTCCAGGGCAAGCAGTGAGCCAGCTGTCCCCAGCTGGAGAAGAAGGGAAAGTTTCACTCTCTGTGACTCAATGACCACAGGACTTTCTATTCCTAAGGGGAACCACAGAACTCATGGAACCTGCCTGAATCAGGTATATGACAGATCTGCACCCACTGCACAGGACTAAAGGGATGACAAAAGATGTGTAGCGTTGTTTTTGTTTTTAAAATTATACCCCTGAATTCTGCATGTTGAACATACTGGTTACATATTATAAAGTAGGATTTGGAAAAGATATCTTCCAAGCACATTTTCTTGAGTTTTACAGGAGAAAATGGTCATTAAATCAACTCATTTGTTTTTTGAGAGTCCATACTTTGGGAGTAGGGCGCATAAATGCAAAGGAGTCTCTGTCCTCAGGAAGCTTAGTCTTGAGTTTCATACTCAGAGTAATGTACCTATCACAGTCAATTATGTCAACAAGAGCCTGTGTTGCATAGGCAGGGCAGGTTCAGGAGGGTCTTTACTCTAATGATTTACTCTCAAGATTTTTACTAGCTTATGATCACACTTTAGAAGCAATCATGTTGCCCCTGTTCTTCAAGCATGGAATCACAGGTAAAGCTTACATTTAAGATGTTTAAAGAGAGATGCAAGGCTGACTGCATAGGCTGCATCTTGATTGGGCTTCTATGAAACCAGGGTCTGTGTGGTCCTCAGTTTGGCAGATCCAAAAACTTATATTTCACTTTACTCAAACTTAATCAGGCTCTGAGAAGTTAATTTGGATAAAACAACTTTATAATTCAACCCAATGAACAGAAGCTGATTTATAAACTATGATGTGTATTTATTAATTGAGAAAGACTGTATAGCTAGTATAACTAGTACTAGTCACGTGTCTTGGACAACGACTTCTTACTGGGTGTGTTGACTTACTCGAGACCCCTCGAGTGATGGGAAGGCTACTTGATGAGTATGGAATCAGAACACGGGTCTTTGTATGTTCTTCAAGGACATCCAGAATTTTAGTTTGCTAGGATATAAACTCAATAAAGGCAGGGATCTTATTTGTTGATGTAGAACATAGTAAGCATTCAATAAGTATTTGTTGAGTGACTGACTGAATCTGAATTAAGTTTTTTAACTGTTCTGATAACGGGTATTGGTCCTGGTCGTTAGAATCAGTAGCCTCTCTCCTGGATAAAAGTTGGAGCCCACCATGCATTCTTACTCAGATTCTGCTGGTTCTAGACTCTTTATGGACCCCACCCTTCTTTTATGACAGCATCAACTGGGCATGTGACACTTAGGTTACAGATGACTTATTTTACTTTCTGATGAAATTTGGGAGCCACCCTGGCCTCTTTAACACATTTACAGATCATCTTATAGGGTGACTTTTTTTTTTTTTTTTTAAATCTTGTCCCAAGTTCTGTGAGGGTTTTTGTTTTACATTTTCCGGGTTACTGGTTTCCAGCTCAGGCAGGTAGGGGACAACCGAATTGTGCTGGTTTATATCTTTACAGACACCCAGAGTTCTTTACGCAGGTATGGATATACCCGCCGTCAAGGACTCCAAAGGCAGAACACGGCCTTTTACTCAATGGTAGATCTCAAAGCCCTTAAAAGACCAAAGCAGAGATTGGCTGAATATTCATACCTCTGGGAGCCGCAGGTCCGTCTGGGCGGCTATGCAAGTAGACTCCCTAGGCTCAGACAGCTCCTCATTCTTTCTGCTTCTGAAACTCGGGGTCTAGTACTGGAAGCTCCCTGTGAACATGTAGCCTATCGACTTTCATATTCCTAGACGCTTTCGGCACCAGAGGCATCTGTGTTCCCTCTTGCGTTTAGGTCATGTCCTTAGGTGAAGAGGAAGGTTGGGGGGCGGGGAGGGTCTCCGATCTAACCCCATCGCTGGGAATGGGGACGTGTCACTGCTTCGGCCTGCCGGGCGGTTTTCTGTTAAGGTCTCCGTGCTCCTCATCTGGATAAGGGCACCCGGGGTTTTCTGGCCTTCTGCAGGGGGGCACGGCCCCCTCCGCAGAGTCCAGGAGCGACCTCGGTCTTCCGGCTTTCCTCCTACGTCCCCTCCCCAGTTTCCTCTATCTTCTTTCCAACCTCCCCAGACCGAAGACCCTCAGACATCTCCCTCAGGCCCACGCCCGGCTTCTCGCACCCTAACTCAAGGGCCCAAATTTGTGGCGGCAGAAGCACCGCGGCTCTGAACACCACAGACCACAAGCCTGAGGCCAGCGGGCCTGGGGGACCCCACCCGCGCGCTC